GGTATTTCAATATTTTTTATCGTTTTAACAGCACTTTTAATTCCGGTTTGTATATTAGCAAGTTGGGATACGCATACTAGTCCTGATTCCTTCTCTTCCCATTACCCAAGGGGGATGGGGACCCATAGTCACATTACAATTTAAACCATATCCTTATTGCTTATTTGGTAAACTACACTACTGTTTGCACCCCCACGATCTAAGATGTCCCTCGGGAGAAGGGGGGGGGGGGGGTTTTCTCGCTATTTTATCAAAAGAAAAAGTTTATATGGCTATGTCATAAGTCATGACTCATGAGTCACGTCCCTCTACTAATAGTCCTCTACCCTGATTTCGAGTGGTATTTAAACTTTTGTTTTGTTTTTAAAAACAAAATAAAAAGAGCTTTCCGGTGCAGACTGCAGTACTGCAGTCATCCTTGATCCATTCCATGCCCGTTCAGATGCTGCTCTCGGTTTGATTGGGTGGGCAATTTAGAGTATTTTCCCTTGCTGGATATTGACATTACTGTACTCACTCTCGATTTATGTACTCTCAAATTATCACACTCTATTTTTATTTTTTAGTGTGTGTGTGTCTCTCTACTACTCTAGAGAGTAGAGACTCACTACCACCAGAGAGTAGAGTGACTGAAGAGATAGAAAGTCTAAGCAGTGAACAGTAAAGAGTTTAGTAGAACTGTAAGAGATTAGTGTAGACTGTAGAGTGACCGTAGACTGTAGAGTGTAGAGTGTAGACTGTAGGCTGTAGACTGTAGAGTGGAGAGTACTGAGTAGTCCCTTTTATTTATTTTTAAATTGTTTTTAAAGCAACGCTTGTCTACTTTGGCCACAACTCTGGGGACTGTCACTTGGACCACTCACCAGTCACCACTCACCACTGGGGGTTCCAAAAAGATATCCAACATCTTAGACTTCAACATATGTATTTTGTTTTTAAAAACAAAAGCCATATCTTTATGTTTACAAGTCCTTACTCCAGTGAATCCACGGGATGCAGGATATGATTTTTTTGTGTGTTAAACATTAGAGGGTTTTTCTTAATTACCCCTCTAAAAGGCTTTAGATACCCTGTAAACAGAAATGACGATAGGTATTTATAATCTGGGAACGTTTTTGTATACATTCCGATTTCGAGGATTTGAAACATGATTTATTTATATTGTGTGTCCGTTTTATTACGATACACCATTGCTACGGCAGGATTTTAAACTCAAGTGTATTCCTGAACTATTAGTAAGTGAACGCATGAACGATTTTAACTTCAATGCTTCATACATACTGTGAACGAGACAACGGCGGCTATACGAGCAGTGCTGGGTAGAGTTCCAGAACAAGTGAAATAGTATCAAGTACAACCCATACATAATCTGTACTCAGTAAACCTGTACATAGTAAAACATCAACAAGTACATAGTAAAACATCAATAAATCGCTGTTTCTGCATAACTCTCTAAATTGAACATTAGAAGGCTTTGGTGATTTGGTTTCTGTTTTTTTTTTGGCTTAGCGAGCCGCTCTGAATTCTTTATTTTGTCAATATTACCAGTGAATATGTACACCCCTTCAAGTATATATATGCGACCTAATATTCCAGTCAGTCGAAACATTTTCATAAAAAGCTCAGCATCTGACCTTGAAAAACGTACCAGGGAAGATGAGGGTGTATCTATGCTATTTACATTCCCCAGAGGGGGTGCCTAAGCAAAATCGATATAAAAATAAGTATCATTTTGGTTTTGTTTATATTTATTTTTGCTTTTTCATTTTCAATTCATTTTTTTTGTTTCTTTAATTTAAAAAAAACCAAACGGGGACTTGGGTGATGGCAGGGGCTCATGACTGTCATAAGTCATGGCCCCCCTATCGGCCGTCATGGGACCCCATTCCCAGACTCCCAATGGGCCCAGTCGGGCTGGTGCTCAGGGCCAGGGGCCCAGTCCCCATCATGTGTGTGAGACTCCAAAGTCCAAGGACTTCAACCTTCAGTAAATACTAAATAGTCCAAGCCTCCGAGGACAGCTAAATATAAAAGATTAAAAACTGATGGAGTCCATCTATTTTTAAAATAAAAATAGATCTACTCTTAACTTTTGCAAATCCACTTGACTTTTAAATAATTTATATATATAATAACAGATAACAATCATCAACCGACAACCAGACTAGCGCATGAACCCAATGCCGGTACGTACAACAGTACGTACCTTTTTCTTGCTGTCGGTAGCGGTGCTGTGGTTTGAAAATGAATTGATATACATACATACAGTTTGCTATACTCGCAGTGACGCACTCGCAAGTCGCAGGCTCGCAGCCCACGGGTAACAGGTCTCTGATAGTACAGTTTAATCCTCATTCTGAGATTTTGCCGAATATTACTCTAAATAATTGCTCTCTATACAATTGTATATATAAGCAGTGCTCCGGAGGTAGTCTATTTTTAAACACTATCACACACACACACACATAC